TTTTCCACACACACACACAAACCATACACATTCAAATATATACATGTGTATTTGTGTTGTGTATTCTGTACTTCCTGGTTCCTGTGTGTTCCGGTTCTGTATGTATGTATGTATGTATGTATGTATGTATGTATGTATGTATGTATGTATGTATGTATATATGTATGTATGTATGTATATATGTATGTATGTATGTATGTATGTATGTATGTATGTATGTATGCATGTATGTATGTATGCATGTATGTATGTACGCATGTATGTATGTACGTATGCATGTATGTATGTATGCATGTATGTATGTATGCATGTATGTATGTACGCATGTATGTATGTACGTATGCATGTATGTATGTATGCATGTATGTATGCATGTATGTATGTATGCATGTATGTATGTATGCATGTATGTATGTATGTATGTATGTATGCATGTATGTATGCATGTATGTATGTATGTATGTATGCATGTATGTATGCATGCATGTATGTATGTATGTATGTATGTATGTATGTATGTATGTATGTATGTATTTGTTGGCTTTTGTAATTATCGTGTGACCCTTATGGCTTGATTTGTCCTCATTGATTCGTATGTTCGTTGCAATGTTTCCTTTTGTGCCAAATGGCTGGATTCTGTGTATTAACTTTGTGTAATATGTTTGTTTTTCCTGTGTTGTGTCCTATTTCATGTTTTGTGCGAGTTACTGATCTTGGGGTTACTGTTTTTACGTTTCTGCCTATGTGCCATTCTCAGTGTTTATTGTCATATTTTGTGGGCCGGGTTTGGGTTTTTGGTTTGTTCCTCTGTAATGCAACTCCTTTTGTTTTTCTTGTATATAATATTTGTATAAATAAATGTGTATTTTTCCTGTGTGTTCTGAGTTTTGCTCTGGTGTACAGTTATTGTGTTGTTGCAACCCGTTCTCGCAAATTTAATAAGTCAATATTGACTTATTAAATATGTGCATAGGTGACATACTTAACATAATAGATACCCTTAAAAAGATTCATAGAAAACACCGACCTTACCTAACCTACTTAGTATGTTAAGATAAGCATCTTATTGCTTCGTAATTACAATTATTACGTAACCTATAATAGGTATAGGTTAAGTAATAATTGTAATTACGAAGCAATAAGATGCTTATCTTAAGATACTAACAAGGTTAGGTAAGGTTGGTGTTTTCTATGAATCTTTTTAAGGGTATCTATTATGTTTAGTATATCACCTATGCACGTAGTTAATAAGTCAATATTGACTTTACGAATTTGCGAGAACGGGTTGGTTTTGTACATTGTATATTATATGTGGTGGTTTTTGTGTGTTGTATATTGTATGTTGTGTGTTGTGTGTTGTGTCTGTACAATGATATGTTTGTGAGACGTGTTTCCGTGTCTTGTTGTAGGCCCTTCAGGTATGTGGTTTTGTGCTTTTGTTTTGTTTTCTTTGTGTTTTGTTTGTTTCTGTAAATATTTTATTGTACTTATTAGCATCCCTGCATGTAAAAATAAATAATAAGAAAAAAACTTCGATTGTGTATGATGACAAACTGATTCACGGAGCATAAGGTCATTGCATGAAATAAAAGAGAAACCTGGCACTAGAACTTTAAAAGCTCAAAAGGCAATTGAAAAGGGGAAGTTTGGAGGAATTACTATAACAAGCAACAATAAAATTGTCTCCATTAATTATTAACAGTTTCTTACTAGTGTTGCGAACAATTTAAAGCACCGTATGTTCACGACAACGTCCATGAAAGGCTCCCAAACTTCTGAACCCTAAAGTGTGTATAAATCACTGCTAAGTAAAATGTGTGTTAGCTCTCCACATATGTCAGTTGCTTAATTTAGAACCTGTACTTGAGGTCGATCTCGAACCCATTGTTGATGTGATGACTTATATTGAATTTTGTAACTAGCTCATCAAGATTGTAACTTGCTTAGCTAAATGAATTGTGGGGTTCAGTCCCTGAGCCCATTATGTGCCTCTGTAACCCTTTCCACTACCGCCCACAAGATGGGTATGGGGTGCATAATAAATGAACTAAACTAAACTAAAAATAAAATGTGTCCCTGAAAGAGACTACTGGCCTGATGAAATACCACCTAAAATACGGAAAAGCTGAAATATTATCTATCTGTAAGAGGTTTAAGCTTTCTTCTTACTCTGCACTAAATGCCTTTAGAGGCTATGTGGAGGATCATAGACGCCGCATCCCCCAAGACTTACACCCATTACTGAGCTGTTTACAAGTTATTCCTGTTCAGACGAAGTCATAATATCGTGGCTGAAAAAGGTTGACCAAACCACACACTAGAAATTGAAGATACGACGACGTTTCGGTTCGTCCTGGAGCATTATCAAGTCGATTGTGATAATGATAATGGTCCAATCTCAATCGACTTGATGATGGTCCGGGACGAACCGAAACGACGTCGTCTCTTCAATTTCTAGTGTGTGGTCTGGTCAACATGTTATTCCTATTAGTACTGCTGAGTATGAGAGGGGATTCAGTCACATGAACCTGATAACAACAACACGCTCAAGAATTCTCATAAATCATATATCAGCGCTTATGTTTGTTAAACAACACGGGCCTCCGTCAGTTTTCATCCTGAGCCATGTGCCACATCATGGCTGCGGTGCCACAGATCAGCAGATAACACCAAGACGAGAGCTGCTTCACACACCTGAAAACACCTCACACCTGACACCCTATGTGGAAACTACTGTGAAACTTCTCACTGGTTGTATTTTGTGAGCACTAAGTGTTTAAACCTTGTACATTGATAAATACATTATTTATGTTTTTCTTTTTAATTATATAATAATGCAGCCCATCCTCCTGTTTGGGTAGAACCTATACTAACGATGAGGACCATAGTATATATACCGACTTACAATGAAATTAGAAAGTAAAAATCTGAACTATTGAGTACTAGTACTATACTACATTAATTTGATAATGTAAGATGTATTTATGTATATTTTATGATAATTAGTAAGTACAAACACCAAATACTTAATCGTGTGACATATGTAGAAACTGGATATGAAATTACAGGTTTTTGTCAGGCCCAGCAGAGCTCCGGCATCTATAAAATTGGCACTGAACCCCTGCTCCAGTAAGTCCACTACGGGCTCACCATAGCCCGTGCTATTTGCCCCGCTCCTGTGCCAGGTAAGTTACGGGCTCACCATAGCCCGTGCTACTTGCCCCGCTCCTGTGCCAGGTAAGTTACGGGCTCACCATAGCCCGTGCTACTTGCCCCGCTCCTGTGCCAGGTAAGTTACGGGCTCACCATAGCCCGTGCTACTTGCCCCGCTCCTGTGCCAGGTAAGTTACGGGCTCACCATAGCCCGTGCTACTTGCCCCGCTCCTGTGCCAGGTAAGTTACGGGCTCACCATAGCCCGTGCTACTTGGAACGTGTTCCGAGTAGCTGAATCTATAACAACAACAGCAACCCTGCTCCATACACAGTTTCAAATGTAAATACAATAGATCCCAATAGTCTCCCGAACCTGTACACCTGTTGTTTGAAGGCTGGACCAAAGAGCCGCAGCTTACCCCCTGAGAGCAGAACTAGGTGAGTGCAACTAGGTAAGTATGTGCTCAGTAGAGTCCGTTTACAAGGTTTAATAGTTAGCAGTATATTAATGTTGAAAGAAATCGGAGGAAGCAATCTAAAGACAGAAAACGGTTGCTGAAGAACAGTAACTAAGTTAAAACACATTATAAATTACCATGAAATAAATTCAACGTTACTTAAAATGTCTGACTATAAATAAAAATTATTTAAGCTCCGAAAACAAGATCCTAAGCTCCTTCTTGATTTGTTGTGGGGCTTAAGACCGATCAACCTCTATATGGTGAAATGATAATTAGATAATTTTATTTATGTATCGTACATTTGAAAGATGCCACCCGGGCAGGGAGGAAGTGTCCACAGGAATTCACCGTGTGATGGCTCGCAGCTTGACTACGGAAACAGACACATATTCCTTGACCATGAAGTCCAGCTGTATGGTTCCGCTGTAATCAGACTCTGTCGTCACTAAACAGAGAGACTCTCAAGGCTGTGAAAGGTTACCATCTGCACTGTTGTCTCAATGTCAGTATTACTAAGGCCTATCAACCTCTGGAGGGTTATTAAGGCCTATCAACCTCTGGGGGTTATTAAGGCCAATCAACCTCTGGATGGGTTATTAAGGCCTGTCAACCTCTGGAGGGTTATTAAGGTCAATCAACCTCTGGATGGGTTATTAAGGCCTGTCAACCTCTGGAGGGTTATTAAGGCCTATCAACCTCTGGAGGGGTTATTAAGGCCTATCAACCTCTGAAGGGGTTATTAAGGCCTTTCAACCTCTGGGGGTTATTAAGGCCTATCAACCTCTGGAGGGGGTTATTAAGGCCTATCAACCTCTGGAGGGTTATTAATGCCTATCAACCTCTGGGGGTTATTAAGGCCTATCAACCTCTGGAGGGTTATTAAGGCCTATCAACCTCTGGGGGTTATTAAGGCCTATCAACCTCTGGAGGGTTATTAAGGCCTATCAACCTCTGGGGGTTATTAAGGCCTATCAACCTCTGGAGGGTTATTAAGGCCTATCAACCTCTGGAGGGTTATTAAAGCCTATCAACCTCTGGAGGGGTTATTAAGGCCTATCGACTTCTGGAGGGTTATTAAGGCCAATCAACCTTTGGATGGGTTATTAAGGTCTATCAACCTCTGGAGGGTTATTAAGGCCAATCAACCTCTGGAGGGTTATTAAGGCCAATCAACCTCTGGATGGGTTATTAAGGCCTGTCAACCTCTGGAGGGTTATTAAGGCCAATCAACCTCTGGAGGGTTATTAAGGCCTATCAACCTCTGGAGAGTTATTAAGTAGTTTACCATCCCACCAGAAAGTACACTAAAGTCAACTCTGGTCGTATACAGACCGAGAAGCAGGGTTATACACACCTCGGTGTGTATAACCCTGGCACAATATACGTCAAAACACAGCTAATGTCTCCGGATTGTTCATGCCCACGACCCGGTAATGGTGGCGGTCCCCAGGGGCGCTGTGGCGGTCCCCAGGGGCGCTGTGGCGGCCCCCAGGGGCGCTGTGGCGGTCCCCAGGGGCGCTGTGCCGGCCCCCAGGGGCGCTGTGGCGGTCCCCAGGGGCGCTGTGGCGGTCCCCAGGGGCGCTGTGGCGGTCCCCAGGGGCGCTGTGGCGGTCCCCAGGGGCGCTGTGGCGGTCCCCAGGGGCGCTGTGGCGGTCCCCAGGGGCGCTGTGGCGGTCCCCAGGGGCGCTGTGGCGGTCCCCAGGGGCGCTGTGGTGGTCCCCAGGGGCGCTGTGGCGGTCCCCAGGGGCGCTGTGGCGGTCCCCAGGGGCGCTACATTCACGCCACCAGCAGCAGATACGCGCCTGTCCTCGCCTCCCTCGGTCCTACACACCCACAACACACCCACAACACACCCACAGGCAGCATAAACAAGGTTTTCTAGCACAGAAACCACCCGTGCCCAGGCCATGAACAAGCAGCATATAGCAGGCCTTTCTAACGCTGTGGGTACCAAAGCGGTGCTCAGAGGCGCTGTCAGAGGCGCTGTCAGGGCAGCTGTCAGGGCAGCTGTCAGGGCAGCTGTCAGTGCAGGAACACTCACCTGACGTGTGCACAACTCCTCCTTCAACACTGCCATCGTAGAGGGATCACACTCAGGTAACCATCGCCTCCTAGCGGGCGAGAGCCACTGGCCATATGCTCCAATATAAACATTAAATTAACGTTGATTTAACGTCAGTCCACCGCCACTCATGCATAGTACTGAGCCCTCTGGGAAAATGCTCCACAAACGTCTGTATAAACCATTAATCAACGTTATCAACGTTGATTCAACGTTTCATTACCGTCGTTTTCCTATATTTGCTGCGTCGTGGCTGCCCGCGTCTGAGAAAACAAAACGTATCACAAACTATTAAAAATTAAAGACTTACACTTTCCTCTAATATTGTAAGCATTTCCCAGTGCTAAACTGCCTGGTCGAGGCCCGATTCATGAAGCATTTATGCGTCGACTTACGAAACCTGTATATCTTTCCTCAATCACGGCAAACTTTGTTTACATTCATTAAACAGTTGACGAGCTTGAAAACTCCACAACCCAAGGTCATGGTTATTATAAACAACCTCGTAGTTTATAGGAGAGATCATAAACTGTTAAGTAGATGTAAACCAAGCCGCCATGATTGAGGAAAGATGTATAGGTTTCGTAAGTGGCTGAGCCGGATGAACCGCCAATGAACCGACAGTATCAAACACATGGAGCGAGGGAGGCGGCAGCGGCGCTGTCTAAATACTGCCGCTAATTGCTTCGGTTTGATCTGAAATACCTGGGAGATAGGCACGACCTTCGATGCTTGGGTACGACTACCCTTGTAGCCACGACTACCCTCGTAGCCACGACTACCCTTGTAGCCACGACTACCCTTGTAGCCACGACTACCCTCGTAGCCACGACTACCCTCCTAGCCACGACTACCCTCCTAGCCACGACTACCCTCGTAGCCACGACTACCCTCGTAGCCACGACTACCCTCCTAGCCACGACTACCCTCGTAGCCACGACTACCCTCCTAGCCACGACTACCCTCGTAGCCACGACTACCCTCGTAGCCACGACTACCCTCCTAGCCACGACTACCCTCGTAGCCACGACTACCCTCCTAGCCACGACTACCCTCCTAGCCACGACTACCCTCGTAGCCACGACTACCCTCCTAGCCACGACTACCCTCGTAGCCACGACTACCCTCGTAGCCACGACTACCTCGTAGCCACGACTACCCTCCTAGCCACGACTACCCTCGTAGCCACGACTACCCTCGTAGCCACGACTACCCTCGTAGCCACGACTACCCTCCTAGCCACGACTACCCTCCTAGCCACGACTACCCTCCTAGCCACGACTACCCTCCTAGCCACGACTACCCTCCTAGTCACGACTACCCTCCTAGCCACGACTACCCTCCTAGCCACGACTACCCTCGTAGCCACAACTACCCTCGTAGCCACGACTACCCTCCTAGCCACGACTACCCTCGTAGCCACAACAAAGCCATTACACAATACAATTTACAAGTCTAACAACAAGTTAACTTGTAAGAAGTCAACACAAAAGAAACACCGAACAAAAACACGCCTTTGTTTATAGTTACGTGTTATTGTAGACGAAAACTAAACGAAAAAGTTCAAGTAAACAATATTTTCCCAAACAATACTGATTTTTGTTTTAGCTCGTGATGCTTCTCCTCGCCAGAAGAGGGAGCGCTACGCACCGTTGTAGTGGAGAGGTTATTGAGGTCCTCTTTGGTATTCAGTAGCTTGTCTCCTATAATATTGGGATGGCACTGAAGACTCGACAAGTTGCCTCGTTACCTGAGTACCACCTGTGGTGAACGCTCAATAGGCACGTTATTTGAGTCTATTGAGATCATCATTCAGCTTCGTTCAGCAACGTTCCGCGTCGTTCACTGACAACAGCTGCCTTCAGCTCACCGGAGGCCTCTGGGGCCACTCCCGCAAGTTCAGTTCTCTTTGATCCTTAATACACTTCACCTGTTTCTTGTCTTGGCGGGAGCCCGCGGGCTGCTCTCTTCAAGCGTGTGTGCTTGCTCTCCCTCTCTCTCTCGCTCTCTCTCTCTCTCGCTCTCTCTCTCTCTCTGGGTGAACAGGGACAAGCAGTTATGGATCCGTATACAGTCAACCCTCCTGAACCAGTGTTCGAACCCAACCGAAGTCTCCCGGAGCAAACGGTCTACCACTGCGCCACTGTATAGCTTAAGCAATGAACAAATCTTATTCCACAAACGGGTTTCAGGGAATTGTGGCTGCAAGGCGGAGCCCAGTAGCTGAAGTTCGTGGGTCAAGTACACATATCCCGAACTCAACTTCGCCCATACACTAAGTTCTCTGACTTACACAATTTCTTTGTTACAATACTTTCATATCAAAGCAATACTTGACCAAATGATACAAAATCACTCCACTCGTTGAATAATACGCAAGCAAACGGAATTTGAAATTAAGAAGTCTCAGGAACAAATCCTCGATGTTTGCTGCAGCAGCAGAGACCATCAGGAGAGGGTCCAGCAAGCCAGAGTCCGGTGCAAGGTGATGCAACACGTCCTGTCAAGGTACATGTCAGCAGACACAATGATAGCATCACATCAGTGTTACGGCCCTCTCGGGACGCAACGGGGTTCTTACTCTGATGTAGTTAGAGAAATATATATATCCGGCCCCAAGCCAGTAGAGGCTTTCAAGGGATGCGATCCGTGACGCAAGTAACTTAAAGGGAGTATGGAAAGATAGTTAAGAACTTAATATTATAATTAACACCATCACCATTTAAATATATATAATAAAAGAGTACACAAAGGGGGGGGGTATTAATGCTATGCAAGGGGGATCAACACTGTAGTCTTCTGCTGGAGACTATGGATCCTCGAAGCTAGGTGCTGAGTCCGCGGTGCTTCCTTCGTGGCTTCAAGACGTGTCCTCTTAGAACGCCGAGCCTACCCTGGCCACAGGTCAGCCACAACACAGGTCCACTGGGGGCACCGTCGTGGAGGCCGTCAACCACACGTCCAGCAGGTCTGCTGGCAGGTACTGAGTCACCAAGGCTGGTACGGCCACTCCACGAACGATATAAGGGGTACGCCCTAGACAGGAGTCTCGTGTGATATCACCAATCACCCTCCTGTCCTCAATACCCCAGTGGATTATCGTCTCCAACCGTCGGTCCCGGGTAAATCCGTTCACTGCCACTCCACTGGCAGGCTTAACACACCACAGTGTTCTTCCGGGAGGACGACGTCACAACAGCTGCAGCAAACTTCACAGTATGGAGACTGGCTGCCTCGGGTAGACTGCTTCCACCTTCAACACAGTGGTCCCAGGTCGGCTCTGTAAACAGACACGTCATCAATAACTGGGACACTAATACACCACACTCACAGGCTCAGATACTAACGCCTGACGTATCCAGTCCATAGATGGCGCTGTCGTCGGAGCACCACCTCACCAGAGGTCAGGAGCGGCGGTGTTGAGCGCTGAACCAGACTGGAAACTGGTCCTCGAGGCCAGTACACGTTGTCCTCACTAGGTGTCGTCGTTCGTTTGGCGGGGGTTTCGGGAGCTGACCCACAGATGGCGTGTTTGTCACTGCTCCAGGCTCGGACGCTGAATCCGGGTCCGTAACAATCAGTACATGTCAGCAGACACAATGATAGCATCACATCAGTACATGTCAGCAGACACAATGATAGCATCACATCAGTATATGACAGCAGACACAATGATACCATCACATCAGTATATGTCAGCAGACACAATGATACCATCACATCAGTATATGTCAGCAGATACAATGATAGCATCACAACAGTACATGACAGCAGACACAATGATAGCATCACATCAGTACATGACAGCAGACAGACCTGGACAGACAGACCTGGACAAGCTTGCATGCATGGGGTATCAAGAGAAGACTCATGAAATGGATTGAAGACTCCCTCACAGGGAGGAAAGCCAAGGTCTGCTTCAACGGAGCAGTTTCATGAACAATGAGTATGGAACTCAAACCCCCCCAAGGAGGATTCTTAAGTCCCCACTCTATTCAACATACTTATGAACGTCATTGCAAGTATTCAATTTCCGGAAGGAACACAACAAGTGGGATATGCAGATAATGTTCTAATACAAGCCCCAACCTTAGGAAAAATTTAGCAATCCATTGAACTCCTTGGAAGAAAATCTATTGAGCTCGGGTTCACTCTCTCCACAAACAAGACAAAAGCATACTCTCATCACATGCGGGGGAGAAAATGAAAATCTACATATTAATTGTATAACACTTGAATGGGTTGACCACTATCGGTACCTTGGCGTTACTGTCGACTCTAACAAGGGGAAGAAAGAGGAGCTCAACCAACTCACAGGAGGAACATGCAAAAGTCGACTCAGGGCACTGAAAGCTATGACCTGGAATGTACATGGGGCCTCAAATGCCGCGCTTAAAATGATATACACAGCCTATGTGCGCTCCGTCATAGACTATGCCGCACCAGTTTTATGCACCTACTCCCAAAGCGATATGAAAAGGCTTGAAACCTACAAAACGAAGCCAAAACATCTAATTTAACAGAGGTATTGTCCCTCCCCAGTGTTAAAAGCAGAATTAAGAAACTGAATGCTAAGCTTGCAATTAAGATAGCCAGAGCTATCCATTACAATATTGCCAAGAAAAAGCTGAGTTCTGTGCCACTTACAGGAGGAAACAGGAGAAGCAAAAAATAGCATCACAAATAAGTCTGCTACATCGAAGAACTTCACCTGCTTGAGCAAGCCCGTGAGCTCCTGCCTGTAGAGAGGTTACCTCCCTGGGAGGATGACTCATGCAGGATTATCATCAATGACATGACAACGAAAAAGTCCAACATGTTAACACAAGAAATGAGGCACAAGTATCTCGAAGAAATTTATAATGAAGCCGAAGATGAATTTGATCAAATCTTCACTGATGAGACATCTAATCCTGCAGTGTATGCTGCACCAGCCCTGCCAATGGCATGGCTGGTGCAGCATACACTGTAATTGAGAATACAGTAATGCCTTTCAACACGAAAATGAAGAAAAAGCCCGTATTTAGAACTATGCCTCCTCAACGCAAGCAGAGCTAACTGCCATTGTTATGGCGTTAAGATTCCTTGAACGGAACACTAATGGTGCAGTGATCTGCACCGATTCCAAAGCAGCACAACAAAGCCCAAGTAAAAATCTGCCAGAAAATCTTGCAATAGTCGCTGAAATCAAGCGAGCTGTGAAGGTTCTAACCAATGAAGGAAGAGTCGTCAAGTTCCTGTGGATCCCCTCCCATGTTGGAATATGTGGGAATGAACGAGCAGATGTGCTGGCTGCTGAAGGCGCTGAAGGAGACCATATTGAATACTTCATACCCAAGACTCAACTACAAATCAGAGGTATTATCAGGCAACATCACCGTGACAAGGTAACTGAGGAAAGGAGGATAGAAGCACAAACCAGTGAATCTGTACGATGGTACAACATGATTGCAGCTGGCAATCCCAATCATTATGGACGAAGAGGAGGCCGGCCGCGGGAGAGAATCAGTAATAGCGAGAATCCGTCTTGAATACAAATATCCATGGAGATTCGGGATGGAAACAGTAGTTGAGCTGTGGAGTTGCAGAGTCTGTGGTGAGACTGACGGACACCGCCTTGACCACTACTTACGTGAATGTGAACATCTGGGAGACATTAGACATATGTGTAGAATAATTTTCCTCACATTGTTTGAGTTAGGAAAATACCATTTCTCAAATATAGATATTGTTCTTAAAAAAAATTCCCCATTTTGCACCCGCAATATAACGTAAGATTTTAAGGGTTGATAGATGTTAATCTTCTTGTTTGAGGAGCTGTTCACTTGAGACAGTTAAGCAAGTCCCAGCTGTGTCTGGGTACAAGTGACAGGATGAACAGCCCAGCGGGTTTTCTTCCTATTGGGGAGTGTTGTACATACTGCTATGGCGGTATGTCCACTCACAGGATGAGTGGCGCTGCCCAGTACTGTCACTATGGCCGGTATATCCACTCACAGGATGAGTGGCGTTGCCCAATACTGTCACTATGGCGGTGTGTCCACTCACAGGATGAGTAGCGCTGCCCAATACTGTCACTATGGCGGTGTGTCCACTCACAGGATGAGTGGCGCTGCCCAATAATGTCACTATGGCGGTGTGTCCACTCACAGGATGAGTGGCGCTGCCCAATACTGTCACTATGGCGGTGTGTCCACTCACAGGATGAGTGGCGCTGCCCAATACTGTCACTATGGCGGTGTGTCCACTCACAGGATGAGTGGCGCTGCCCAATACTGTCACTATGGCGGTGTGTCCACTCACAGGATGAGTGGCGCTGCCCAATACTGTCACTATGGCGGTGTGTCCACTCACAGGATGAGTGGCGCTGCCCAATACTGTCACTATGGCGGTGTGTCCACTCACAGGATGAGTGGCGCTGCCCAATACTGTCACTATGGCGGTGTGTCCACTCACAGGATGAGTGACGCTGCCCAATACTGTCACTATGGCGGTGTGTCCACTCACAGGATGAGTGGCGCTGCCCAATAAACTCGCCCCCTCGGAGCAAATTTAAAAATTAAATTTAGGAAGTAGTAACTTGTCTCGGCCAAGAGTTTAATTCCCCAGAGTGCAGGTTCCAACCGGTTTGTTTACGATCCTAATGGCACACTTTTTCCCCTCAAATAGCATGTGGTATTGACCAGGTCGGGTGTGGTATTGACCAGGTCGGGTGTGGTATTGACCAGGTCGGGTGTGGTATTGACCAGGTCGGGTGTGGTCTTGACCAGGTCGGGTGTGGTATTGACCAGGTCGGGTGTGGTATTGACCAGGTCGGGTGTGGTATTGACCAGGTCGGGTGTGGTATTGACCAGGTGAAGTGTGGTATTGACCAGGTCGGGTGTGGTATTGACCAGGTCGGGTGTGGTATTGACCAGGTGAAGTGTGGTATTGACCAGGTCGGGTGTGGTATTGACCAGGTCGGGTGTGGTCTTGACCAGGTCGGGTGTGGTCTTGACCAGGTCGGGTGTGGTATTGACCAGGTCGGGTGTGGTATTGACCAGGTCGGGTGTGGTATTGACCAGGTCGGGTGTGGTATTGACCAGGTCGGGTGTGGTATTGACCAGGTCGGGTGTGGTCTTGACCAGGTCGGGTGTGGTCTTGACCAGGTCGGATGTGGTATTGACCAGGTCGGGTGTGGTATTGACCAGGTCGGGTGTGGTATTGACCAGGTCGGGTGTGGTATTGACCAGGTCGGGTGTGGTATTGACCAGGTCAAGTGTGGTATTGACCAGGTCGG